GCTCCCTCAGGCCCCTGGCTCCACGTCCTGAAACCAGTGCAGCCCAACGTCCCATGGCCATGCAAACAGCAAGTCCCAAACACGCCCTCACCTCTTCTCCCCGGACTGACTTCCGGGCTCCACGGTTTTGGGGTGTCCTGTCTTGGAACCGTGGGGTCATCTAGGATCCATGCTGCCCTTCATCCCTCGGGACAGGAAGGCGCCTGGGTGCTCAGACCCTGCCAGGGGCTGCACGTCCTGCCCAAAGCCTTACTCAGCCCCCTCCCCACCATCTGAACCCCAGAAATCTCCGGCCAGCCCCTCCCCACCCAGCCTGCACCTCCGGGAGCTCAGGCTTCCTTCACACTGCTGGACTGGGCTCACGTCACCCCAACTCTAGCCCTCGAGATGGGGATGGGGAAGCCACCCCACTCTTCAGAGTGTCCCATGTGCCCTGCGTGTTCCTTGGCCAGGCTGCTGGAGTCCCCCTAGATCTCTTTGCTCTGCCCTGACTGTGGATCCCACTCATCCTTCAAGGCCCCTCTCAAAAGCCACCTCCTTCATGAAGCCCTTCCAAATCCCTCGCCTGTGTGTGAGCGTCTCTCCTTTGTCCCCCGAGGCCTCCCTTACGGCATCCTGTGTGATCCTCCAGGAAACACAACAACTTTCCACTGCAACCTACATTCCCTGAGTGCTCCTGGAGAGCCAGCCTGACCTGCTGGAATTCTCTAGTGCTGCTAGTGTGCTGCACACAGGGAGCCCGGAGCCAGGGGATGGGTGTGAACACGAGTACCCGGACTCTGCAAGAGCCCCCAGACATCCAGGGCCAGGCTGGCTGTGGAAGGAGCACCCCCAAAGCCTCGCCTGGCCCCAGCTCCAGCTCTCAGCCAGGGCTCCTCCACCTGGAGACCCAGGGACACAGGGGAGGGGTCCAGAACCCTTGCCCTCAAAGGCCACACCAGGGTGTCTGCATGTGTGCCTTTTCTAGGGACAGGGTTCCTCATTCAGTCTTTGACTCCGTTCAAAAGTTAAGACCCGCCATATCCAGACACCCCCACTTCTGGGTCCCCTGCACCCCGCCCTGCCCCAACCCCAGCTTCCCTCGTCCCTTGTCTTGAGCTGCCAACCTCACTTACTTATAAATAGAAACCTTCTCTGGACGCAAATCTGGCATGACAGGAGGGGCGGGTGTCTCAGCGATGAGCAGAATCATGTCACCCACCCCGTCCTCTCCCGGCCCACAAGACTGTCTCCCCAGGAGGCTCCCGCGGGGCTCCCCACGTGTTATCATCCTTCTAGAAGATGAGGTTAGCACCTGTTCCCCACTCATGAGCCAGGAAAGGGATAACAGGCAGCTCCCGCATCCCCAAGGCCCCATCTTGCACCTCCCCTCCTTCTTGAGTGACAGCCTAGCCCTGGCACAGCCCCTGGTGGGAGACAGATCCCAAGACCACCCCTTTTCTGAGCCCCAGTACCCTGCCGGATATGGGACCAGTATGGCCCCCTGCCCACATCTGTGGAAGTCCGAGGCAGGGACCTGAGAGTCATCCTTGTCACCTCCTTCCCCTAAACATCTAACTGGTATGGAGTCCTACAGAGCCAGTCACCTGCCAGCCAGCCCTCCCAAGCCCTCTCCTTACCAGGGACAAGGATGTGGCAGGGACTGGCTGGACCACTGCTGTGGCCTCCCGGCCTCCTGTATCCACTCTCCCCACTTCTCCCTGACACTGTTTGCTGGTGCACAAACACGGGCCTATCACTGACGCACATAAAACCTTTGTGGAGAGCCCCTCACCCTGGGGATGACGTCCAGACCCTTTACTATGCTCCTCAGGACCTGCCTCTCCATCTCATCTCCTGCCCCCTGCCCCCAGCCCCAGTGCACTGCCCATTCTGATCTCCTTACACACCTCTCAGCTCTGGCGTCCGGTGCCCCGGCCCTTGCCTCTCCTCTGGCTGTATCCTACTCTTCCTCTGCACTCAGAGTACACCTCGTCCCAACTCCATGTCCACAGCATCACTTGAACTTGGCTTGGAGGGAGCGTTTACACCACAGAAATTGGCAGACACTCCCAACCAGGATTTGTTTTTCTTTGCAGGGCTGGATGTTAACCATTTGTCAGCAGGCTCCTGCTTAGGCCCAACTCCAATGCCCAGGACGTGCATGGAGTGGAAGGAGAGCCAGATGGATGGAGCACTCAGAGGCACTGGGCTCCACATACTGCCCCCTAGTGGTTGGGGCACACAACCGTGCTGACCTGCCTCAGATCGGACCACACTGCTGGCCCCATTTTCTTGCTCTTTCCTCAGTGCTCTGTGCCCTGGCCCCCTCACCAGCCCTTTTGGATAGACCAATCCTGCTGATCCTCCACCAGCTGGTGGTTAAGGCGGCGGGGAAAGTAGGGGAGAGGGGACAGCAGGGGGCCAGCCTTGGGGAAGGTCAGGGGCCACAGATGGATGTCCCCTCTTTCAAAGGGTTGCTGGAGAGGAGCAGAAGGGATGGCACCATCCCAGGAGAGGCTAAGAGAGGGGACCTCCCTCCCCGTAGTGCTCCCCAGTATGATGGGCAGCAGGATCAATGGACACCATCGCCTGGTTAAGGGCACTGCAGGGAAGGCAGGAGCCCGGGCAGAGCCTTGTCAGCATCTGCCGACACGCGTCACCTCTCTCCTGCAGTCGGTTCCATCCTGAGGCCCTGTCCCCCCTCCCTGCCCTGGCTCTGTCCTCATTTGCCTCCGGGTCTCAGTCTCTGCCTCCCTGTGTCTCTGACTCCTTCCCCTGTGTCTCCAGCCCTCTCCTCCAATCTCAGTATCCCTGTCACCCACTCCGGGTCTCCATGGCCCCTTCTCTCTGTCTGTCTCTTCCCTCCTCGCTCAGTCTCCTCGGCTGCGTTTCCACCTCTGTCTCCCTCCACATCTCCATCTCCCTCCTGCATCTCTGTCTCCTTCTTCTCCCCCTCTGTGCTCAGCACCCCGCATCTCCTCGCTCCCTTCCCCTCCAGCCTGCTCAGGCGCGGGGGCCCAGATGGCGGGACGTTCACGCCGCAGTGCCTGCGAGCACAGGGCTTCTCCCCCGCCTCCAGCCCTGAGCTCACCTGCCCAGTCCGACTCCCACACTCACACCTATGGAGTCCATACTCATTGCTGGAGCAGACTCTGCCACCACGGGGCTAGGGCTACACCTCCCTGCCTCTGAGGGCTTGTAGGGGAGCCATGGGCCCCTTAGGGGCTGGGGCGAGGAGAGGCCGCAGGCACCCCTCAAGGAAAGCCCTCGCTTCCTCTCCAAAGGGGCGGCTTCATCTGCCCCGGGTCTATGTGACTCAGCTACTTCCCAGGACAGTCACAGCTCCACCAGCAGCAGCATCTGGCGGGGCAGGGACAGCTGGGTGCACCCCCCAGGGCGAGAGGAGGGTGCTGAGCCCCTGGGGGAGGGACACCTGCCTGTGGCCAGAACTGAAGGGAGGGCAAAGGTTCAGACTCAGGGGGTGAAAGACATGGGAGGTTGGGGCTGCTGCGCTCTGGGTCACGGGAGCAGAAACTGCTGCTCCCCTCCCCCACCAGCCTGGCAGAGCACTGCACCTCTCCCTGGGAGGCTGGCAGAGCCGCCTGTGCACACACACCCACGCCCCACGCGGCCCAGACACAACACGCCCACCGCAGTGCCATGGGCGCCCACCTGCTGGTACGGCAGCCGCGTCCCACCCCTTCCATGTCGCCTCCATAGGGAAGGGGCAGGGCACAGCCACCAGGGCAGAGGCTGTCGAGGCAAGAGCCAGGGGAGCCAACAGGATATGGCGATGATGGAGCAGGGCTGCCCCTGGTAGGACAAGGCAGTCCCGGATAAGAGCTGAGTGTTTGCAGCACGGTGGGTGTGGCAGTCAGGGGGCCGGGGTCAGGGGCTTCCGACTTTCCTGACCCGAACATCTCACTGCTCCAGATCCAAATTGGACCCATGCTCCCCAGCCTAGACCCAGAGCCCATCTCCCCAGCCCCATATCCCCCACCCCAGCCATGGTGAGCCTACCTGCTCAGACGCCCCCCTTCAATCGCGTGCTGTGCCCCTGCAGGCAGCCCCCTCCCCACACACCTTCCACCTCCCCCTGCAACTTGGCGTATGGGTTCCAAATCAGGAAAGCTCAGGTTCTGCCAGCCCAGTGCCCTCCTCACTGCCCCAGCAAGGCGAGACCACCCGAGAGGGGAGAGCAAGGGAGAAGGGCACAGCGGGCCCCGTGTGCTCAGCACCTGCCCGCTGGCTCCCGTCTTTCTGAGACCCAGGCCACACTAGGGCACAGGGACGATTTCTGGAAGGAAGCCGGCGGGGGGTGGTGGTGGGCAGGCTTGGTTGTGAGGCCCCGGGGGGCCTGCTCTGACCCTCCACGTGGTGCAGCCCAGTGTGTGCATGGGGGTGCCAGCAGAGTTCCCCCTTCTGCCTCCACGCAGCTCTGGGAGGGATAGCAGCCTCCTCCCCTCTCAGCCCAGATGCTCCCTCTTCCACATGACAGCCCTTCAAATATTTGAAGACAGCTCGCCAGTCCCCGCTGAGCCTCCTCTTCTCCTGACCAAACAGCCTGGTTCTTAGGATGATCCCTCCACTGCGGTGGTTTCAAGTCCCCTCACCGTGCTGGGCGCTCTCATCCACCAGGAGCCGCCCTGGTTCCCAGCAGGGCTCCCAGACCGGAGGCCCTGGACCAGATTGCCTCCCTCCCTGACCCACGGGCCTTCACTCCACGCCAGGTGCAGCCACCAGCCCTCCACTCCTCACTCTGGCCTCCTACCAGTCACACCGCGACTGAGTCAGGTCCATGCAGCCCCCCACTCCCCGCCCCACCCTGCGGCCCCTGCTCCAAAGACCCAGTCTGCCCCCAGGGACACACCTCGCCCCAGAAGCTGATGCTCATCACATCCTTCCAAGCCCACGTCCTCCAAGAAGCCTTCCCAGGTAGGACGTGCCCTGCCCCCGCCCTGGGCCACCTCCACACCCAGAAACGGCTGGCAGGAGGCCTGTCCTTGCCCACTGCCTACCTGCTCGTGGTATTCGATGCCCATGCTGAGCGTATTGACCAGGATGGCGATCATGATTCCCCGGCCGAAGTACTTGCTGTCCACGATCTTCCGGAAGGTGTCACAGATCAGCCTCCAGAAAGCCAGCACGGGGCTGGGCTCTGCGTCGCAGCCCTGGCTCCGTCGCCGCCGGCCGTGGGGGTCACGGAGGTCACTCTGCTGGACGTCCTGCGTGAACTCATAAACGGCCTCACTGTCCGAGTCGGGCATCTCACGGTCGGCGAGCTCCACCTCCCCTGAGCCTGCCCGGGCACAGTAGGGGCAGCTGTCGGGGCCACAGGCTCCCCGGTCTGCCTTCAGGCAAGGGCTGGAGATCTTGCAAGAGCTTTGGCAGGTGCCTGGGACGGGAAAAGAGAGGAGAGAGCTGCAGGGCTCTGACCTGGGCTCACCCCGCCCTCGGAGTGTGCCCAGAGTGAGCTAGGTTGTTCCAGCGGGCAGGGGTGCTAGGCACTGAGTGGGCGGGGTGCTAATGCCCCACAGTACCCAAATGTCAACAGCACCCCACAGATGGCCAGTGCTGAGCGTCCTAGGGGTCAGGCAGACAGGGTCATGTCTGTCCTCTGAGGCCCTGGACAACTCCTATGTCCAAGAAGCCCAGACCATCTGTGTTACCCAGGGAAGCCAGGCCTGCATCCAAGCTGCTCTGAGTAGCATTTTCCAAGGGATCCTTAGGACACACCCACATACATACACATAACATGTACACACACGTACACAGAAACATTAGTACCACGCAAAGCCCACATGCCAGACCCACATGCACACACCCTAGGAAACACGGCACCTCCACGTGCACGTGTACCTACACAACCAGACACGTGCACGCACACACACAGGACCTAAGCTAAGGCATCAATGTGTGCCTACACCTAGTTGACCCGGATTATGGGCGATGAGAGGACCCTCAGACACGGCCCAGGTAAAGCCTGGACCTGGAGGCACCTGGCTCCCAGCTCAGCCCCTAGCAGGCACTCACGCCACTTCCCCTCCTGGCAGCCTCTGTACACACGGGGTGGGGGTAGGGGAACGGGCCACAGTGACAGGCCCAGGCCCAGGCAACAGAAGCAGGCGTGCTCGTGACGTCCTCTAGCAAGGCGGTGAAGAGCTGCGTAAGAACCCTTCAGTCTGCATCCCGTGATAACACCTTCCTGTCCCAGCCCACGGAACATCCCCACGAATATCCACTGCTCCCACGTGCCGATCCTGCCTGAAACGCAGGCTGACACTGCAGTGAACCTGTCTGCTGGGTGGGGTCGGTCACCTGTGTCTCACTCCCCCTCCCCTCCCACTCATCGGCCCAGCATTTCTAAGACTTGCTGTGCAGGGGTCCCAAGTCTCTCTCCAGGGAAGGAAGAATGAGACGTGGGTTTATAAGAGTCCCATTACTGTGGGGTCAGGATGCTGGGCACAGCCACACACCATGTCCCCTGTGAGCCACGCCCCCAAGGAGAACAGAGTATGGGCCTCAGAGTCCAACAGACCTGAGTCCACCCCTCACCACCAGCACAACCTTGAGCAAGTCATGCAGCTTCTCCAAGGCTCCCTTCCCACATCCCCACAAGAAGGACCCTAGGAAGCGGTCACCCACTGTCCAGGGGATGCAGTGGGATTCTGCCTGCAAAGCCTGTAGCAGGTGCACAGCCACAGTAACAGTGAGCTCTTACTGCAAACAAAGAGCACGTGCTCAGTGTACGACTGCTATCATTATGGCGATGCGGGGACCGAGGTCCCCGTTTTAACAGATGAGAAAATTAGGATTCAAAGAAGTAATGCAACTGATGGAAGGTGCCAAGGCCCCGAGAGGCAGAATGGGAATGAGCCCTGACCGCTCTGACTGCACACCCCCAGGGCTCTCTGTGACACCACCCAGCTCCCAGATGGGGACCCCAACATGGCCCCACCCCCAGTTCTCACCTGTACTCTGTGTCTCCAGCAGCTTGTGCATGGAGCTGTAGGGCCCAGGAGGGATGTTGAGGCTGGTGAGGGTGGGGGGCCCAGAGCTGGGGGCCACCTCTACTAGCGCCTTTTCCTTCAGCATCTCTGGCGGGGGGCTGGTGTGCACGGTGGGGTACACCTTCCCACTGCCCACAGTCCTGCCCGATGCCTCCGAGGGGGACCTGGGAGGGGGCGCCTGGCAGCGGACTGGTTCCAAGTGGCAGTCAGCATGGTAGAAGCTGTGCACAGACTCTGCACCCCCTGGCGCAGGACCCCCAGAGAGGGTGGGCGTCGAGGGTGCTGGCAGCATGAGCCGGCGGGACCCGTTGGCATCCCTGTCCTGGATCTCTGGACTGGCCCGGGGGGCCCTGAGTGTCCCATTGCCCAGGTGGTAGTGATGGTGATGGTGGTGGTGGTGGTGCACCAGGTGGTGGACAGACAGGCGGCGGTGGGAGCGAGAGCAGCTGCTGCTGGCCTGGGGCTCTTGGCTCCCAAGTGGAGCTGGACTGCTCAGCAGCCCCGCCCGCACGCCCACTGCCCGAGACACCTGCGCCAGCCTGCGGGCTGCTTTCCGGAGGATGTACACCAGGTACTTGAGCAGCTCCTCGTAGCAGCTGCCCGGCTCGGAGAAGCTGGCCAGGGTGCTGGCGTTGGACAGGAACCGCACCCGTTGCTCCCGCATCAGCTGGCTTTCCCGCTGCTTGGTCTCTGAGAACTGCGTGGCAATCACCACCAGGCACAGGTTGATCATGAAGAAGGAGCCCACCTGTAGGGGTGGGGACAGGAAGAGGAGATGTCCTGAAGAAATCGAATCAACGCCAGCTGCCGCATACAGGAAACGTGTGCCAAGCCTTGGGCTCGGTTATTTTCCCAGCATCATCTCACTGGATTCTCATGACAGTCAGGAGGTGACGCTATTAGAATCTCCATCTGAGAGGTGAAGAAGCTGAGGCTCAGAGAGAGGCCTAGGAAGCTGTCCAAAGTGACACAAGCAGATCACGGCTAAGACCTGGACAACTTCTATGAAATTCCAAGGAGCTGCTATTGACCATGATGTCATCCTGCAGGGCCACCCCCCAAGTTCCCTGCCCCAAAGCGTGGCCATCCAGAGGGACCCTAAGCTTCCCTCTCCAAGTCCCATGAAGAACAGCGGATGCTATGGAAATGAGTACAATACGGGGGAGATGGGGTTTTTGAGTTGGATCAAGCCTCTGAGATCTTGGCAAAAACACTGTCTCCAGACTCCTGCTTCCAGTCTCGATTCTGGCTGTGTGACCTTGGGTGAGAACCGGCTCCTCACCTAAACTTGTCCCTGTGCTGTCACCTGGTACTACACGGAGCCCGGACCCTACAGACTAGCCAAGGCTGCTACTCTGACCGGCCCACACTCCCTGGTCCCCAGCTCCATGCCTCAGTTTCCCTAAGACTCCGGGACAGACACTGCTTGGGCAACAATCCCAAATGAAGGAAATGAATATTTATGGTGACAAAGCAGATTTTTTTTTCTAGATCGTGTCCTAGTAATTATGATAATTAGCTTCACTAGTGTGATTCCAGAGAGCTGTTTGGGAAGATTTTTCCGGGGGTGTGTGGGAGGGTGGAAGCGGGGCCCCTTACCTCCCTGTCTGCTTCCGTCCCCCTCCCCCAAGCCCGGGAGAGCAGCGCGGTGAGAAAGTCGGCTTGCCTGCAGCACTGGCCTCGCCGCTCACCCCAGGCGGTGGTCAGCGATGGGAGAGGCCTCAGGCCAGGCTTCACCCCAGCCTGGTCACTCTCCCGCATCAGGGAAAATTACGAAAGCAGGACAGGGTGGCACTCCTTTCTCAGGGCTTAGCCTCTGTCTCTCTCACCAAAAAACTGCCTCATCCATCTCCACCTCTCTCCAGTGCTTATCCCAAGTCCTGCGAAGATTTAAATCTCTCAGTATCTGCCCCTCTGTCTGGCTCTATCATCAGCCTCTTGGTGACACAGGAAAAGGGCTGCACTCAGAGTTGGTAGCCTGGGACTGAATTCTCTCTTGGCCTGGTGACCACCCTCTGGAGCTTCAAGGTCACTCCCAGAAGATGGGGACCGTAATTCCTGCCCTGGGCACCTCACTGGGGCCAATGGGGATGAAGCAGGCAGTGGATGGCACAGCACACAGCAGCAGGACACCCCACCTGGCAAGTTTAACCCACAGCTTAGGCACAACACATGGAAGTGTTAGTTCCCTCATCTGTAAAGGGACCACGGAGAGAATTAATGCACTGACACATAAAAAGTGCTCCATAAATATCAGCTATGGGCTGGGCGTTGTGGTGCAGCAGGTGAAGCAGGGGCTGGAGACACCACATCCCATATCAGAACACTGGTTCGAGTCCCAGATCCTCCACTTCTGATCCAGCTTCCTGCTAACCTGCCTGGCAGGCAGCAAGTGTCGGCTAAAGTACTTAGGTTCCTGCCATCTGCCCAAATAGGACACCCAGATGAAGTTCTGGGCTCTTAGCTTTGGCCCGGCCCAGCCCTGGCTGTTGAGGGAATTTGGGGAGTGAACCAGTGGATGGAAGACCTCTCCCTCCGTCTATCTGCCTTACAAATAAAATGAAAAAATTTAAATAAGATACTAGGAATGGTAGTGGTTAAAACTATTAAATATTGCTGCTTCTGCCTCTTTCTTCTGCCTTCATAAAGTCTCAGAAATTCTGAGTGGGAAGGAACAAGAGCTCACGCAGCATTTCTCAACACTAATCAGAACTGGGGTGGGACGATACCGTTTGCAAACATTTCAGGGTATTTAGTATCGGTCCCCTCCCCTCAACAAAACGCCAATGGTGCCTTCCCTGCTGGGTCCTGGTGAAAAATGAACCACCTCCATTTGCAAATACCCCCTGGGACAGGCCATGGCACCTTGGGTTAAGTACCACCCATTGTACTGATGAATAAATAGAGGCTGGGGTGGGACTGGGGGCCTCCTGGTGAATGCTGACTCAAGGTCATTAGAACAGGAAGGGGCCTAAGGCGTAGCAGGTAAAAGCTGCCACCTGCAGCGCCAGCATCCCATATGGGCTCCGGTTGGAGTCCCATCTGCTCCACTTTCAATCCAGCTCCCTGCTAGTGTACCTGGGAAAGCAGTGGTAGATGGCCCAAGTGCCCAGGCCCCTGTACTCACATGAGAGACCCAGAAGAAGCTCCTGGCTCCTGGCTTCAGCTCAGCTCAGCTCTGGCCATTGTGACCATTTGGGGAGTGAATCAGTGGATGGAAGATCTCTCTCTCTCTCTCTCTCTCTTTTTTTTTTTTTTTTTTTTTTTTTTTTTGTGGACAGGCAGAGTGGACAGTGAGAGAGAGAGACAGAGAGAAAGGTCTTCCTTTGCCTTTGGTTCACCCTCCAATGGCCGCTGCAGCTGGCGCGCTGTGGCTGGCGCACCGCGCTGATCCGATGGCAGGAGCCAGGTGCTTCTCCTGGTCTCCCATGGGGTGCAGGGCCCAAGGACTTGGGCCATCCTCCACTGCACTCCCGGGTCACAGCAGAGAGCTGGCCTGGAAGAGGGGCAACCGAGACAGAATCCGGCGCCCTGACCGGGACTAGAACCCGGTGTGCTGGCGCCACAAGGCAGAGGATTAACCTATTGAGCCACGGCACCGGCTCTCTGCCTTTCTGCAACTCTGCCTTTCAAATAAATAAAACTAAATCTTAAAAAAAAAAAAAAAAAGTAGGAAGTGGTGGAGTCAGGCATTGACTTTGGAGCTCCTGACTCCTCACCTGGTGCCCTTCCTGCTACAGAGCCCTCTCTACAAGACCTGTCTGCGGGGCCGGCGCTGTGGTGTGGTGGGTAAGGCCGCCGCCTGCAGTGCCAGCATCCCATATGGGCTCCGGTTTGAGTCCCCATTGCTTCGCTTCCAATCCAGCTCTCTGCTATGCCCTGGGAAAGCAGTAGAAGATGGCCCAGGTTCTTGGGCTCCTGCACCTGTGTGGGAGACCCAGGGGAGGCTCCTGGCTCCTCACTTCAGATTGGCTCAACTCCAGATATTGCGGCCATTTTGGGAGTTAATTAGTGGATGGAAGACCTCTCTCTCTCTCTCTCTGCCTCTGCCTCTCAAATAAATACATAAATAAATAAATCTTTTTTTAAAAAAATTTTAAAGACCTGTCCTAGGAGCTGAGTGCTTTAGACTGAGCCAGCTTCCCCTCTCTGGCCAGCCCCAACCCAGCCTCTGGGCAGTTCCCAGGACCCCCTCCCTTCCCCCATTGCCACGGAGCCCTGAGGGTCACTCACGATGATGAGGAGGATGAAGTAGATGAAGTTGTAGAAGGAGTGGGCATCCATGACGAAGTACATGATGTCCACCCAGCCCTCCAGTGTGATGACCTGGGGAGGTTGAAGGGGCCAGGCAGTCTCCTCAGAAAGCCCCGGCCCCTGCGCCAACCCTGAAAGCCGCCCCTCAGCACCCCGGACCGCCGCCCCACCTGGAAGATGGCAATCCAGGCGTAGCCGATGTTGTCGAAGTTGATGGCGCCCTTGAAGGGGTTGTGCTCGCCCGCGGAGCAGTTGGTGTAGTACTGGTTCCAGTTGACGCAGGTGGTGTTGCTGGAACTGTTGTAGGCCTCGTAGTCCAGGCCGCAGGGCGGGCCGCCGCCGCCGTCCCCGCGGAGGGTGGGCACGCTCCGGCAGGAGCGCATGCCATTTTCGCGCGGCTGCGAGCAGATGAAGGGGCTCTCGTCCTCGTTCTCCGTCTGATAATAGCGCTCCAGGTCCACGCTTAGAGGGCTGCAGCGTCGGGGTGGGTGGGGGCACAGGTGAGACCCAGGCAAGGAGAGCCGGCCCACAGGGTGGGCAGGGCAGTCGCGCCAGGGTCAATGCCCCGCCCTGCCCTGCCCCGCCCCGCCCGCCACTCACAGGCTGAAATTCTCAGGCAGGAAGCATCGGTTCCGAAGCAGCCCCGCCCACAGCTGGACGCCCACGATGCCGAAGATGAAGAAGACGAAGAAGCAGAGCAGCAGGACGTTGCCCAGCATGGGCAGCGTGTCCAGCAGCAGGGTGACCAGGATGCGCATGCCTGTAGGGGCAGAAGCCACGCTGGGGATGCCAGGCCCGCTGGGCTGGGCCGGCTGCCACAGAGCTGGCAGCACTCCCAGAGGGGGCCGCCGGGGAATCGGGGGCTGAGAGTGCTAGGCTCGAGCCGGAGGGAAGACCGACAGACACCTCTAACTCCCCAGGCAGCCCCTGTCTGCTCTCCCTCTCCACCCACTCACGGTCATCAGTGCGGGCCATCCCCCGGCCCCCCCACCAGGTGACTGTGCTTGCCAAAGAATTCTCAAGCACCAAGTCCCACCTCGGGCTCCCGACAGTGCACAGTGTGGAAGGGAAGTCTGAGGCCCACAGAAGTGACATCACTCGCCCAGTGTCACAGAGCTGCTGAACGCGGGTGCCAGGACATAGATTCAGCCTTTGTGCTTTCCGAACCCCAAACACACCCTGCAGCTTCCTTCACTCACCAGACACGGCCACCTAACCTTTCCAGATCACCACGCCTGGGACCACTGGGGAAACCGAGGCACAGGACTCCAGAGGGGACATTAGCAGGCAAGAATTCCCCCTGGACAGGCCGCTGCCTGGCAGGGGCCGAGGTGCCCTGCACTGCACCATGGTTCTGAGTCCCCCGGCCCCGAGTCTGCTCCTGCTTGATCCGGATCCCCAGATCGGGACTGGAGGGGATGCAACACTGTCTTCTCAGGAATCCATCACTGAAGCACCCCCTCCCCAAAACCCCCAAGCCCCCTGTTAGGGAGCCCTCCCCCCCTCCAAGTCTCAGCCCCCAGGCCAGCAGGTCCTGCCAAGCAGAGAAGTCTCTGCTGGCTGTTTTCCACCCCCAGAGTGCCCCTGGTGACCCCCTGACCTTTGCAGGGCAGAAGCTTCTAGGGGGCAGCAGCTAATTAACCCTCTTGGCGACTGCAGCTGCCCTGGCCCCGCCCCTGCCTGCCCAGCCTTCTCACTCAGTCCTCCCCCCACATCCTTCAGCTCCTCTATGTTCCAACAGAGATCAATTCCTCAGGGTGCGCATTAAGGGAATTACACCGGTGGTTAGACAGAGGCCTATAAATCTGCCAGCCATCACCTGGGGCGGGAGAGGCCCTGCCCCTCTTCCTAAGCTCCCGTTACCACCAACACACCCCAGCCCCGAGAAGGATGCCCTCGGCAGCTCTGCCCTCCCAGAGGTAGCTACATCTCTCTCTCTCTCTCTCACACACACACACACACACAGAGCAAAGGGGGCTGCGGTCACAGCCCAGCCCAGGGCCCCAGGAAACCTCACCCCCCACCGACTCCTGGAGCCGTGGTGGGGACCGACCTGCAGCATTTGTAGGTTGGGGAGTTACCAAGGGGGTCTGAGCAAAGGCGGGTGCAGGATGGGGCGGGAGCTGGGGCTGCCAGAGCTTGGCTGGCTCCAGAAACCACTGCGGTTTAATTTAGATAATGGTCCCGGCGGTGGCTGCAGTGGGTTGGGAGGGGTTGGGGTGGAGGAAGGGGACGCAGCTGGGAGGGCAAGGCTGTCGAGAGAAGTCGTGTTCAACATGGCTAGTGTGGTCTTGTGGAGGAGAAGCAGGCGGCTAAGCCGCCCCTCCGCCCGGCCTGCCAGCTTCTCGTCCGTCCCCAGCTGCCCCTGCTCCCCTGGGTGAGAGGTCACCTGGAAGTTCCTGGGACTCTGACCCAAAGCCAGACTAAAGCCAGGGGGTCTCTGCAAGTCACTCTCCCAGCTGCACGGCCAGGTGCAGGGGTGCAGACTGGCCCCCAGGGGGACCTTCTCTGCCAGGGTCTGCGAGTGGTCAGGTGAGGATGTGGCAGGAGGGTTGGGGTATGCCCTTTCCACATCTGCACTTGAGGGTTTTTGGCCAGGGGCCGGGGGCCGAGGGGTCACTCACTGGGCACCCGGTTAATGGCCCTGAGCGGTCGCAGCACGCGGACTGTCCTGACAGCCGAGAAGCTGACGTTCTGCAGGTCCAGCGAGTACTCCAGCATCCTGCAGGGAGGGGCCCAAAGGGAGGCCCTTTGAGTCTGAGGCCACCGCAGGGTCAGAGGTCAATGAGGACTCTGACCTGGGGCTCCTCCCTGTCCTCCATGGGGACTGAGGATCCGGTTCGGTCTGGGGCTGGGACCACCCCGCCTCCCCGCCCCAGCCAAGGACAGGCTCCCTCAAAGAAGGGAACAGAGCCAGGAGGAGGGTCCTGGAATTCAGGGGACAGGCTGGGGTGATGCAAGCGGACAGCCAGGGAGAAGGCAGAGCTGTGACTTGACTGGGAGGAGGGGCTACGGCCTAGAACTCTGGCCCAGGGAATGGACTGCTCTGACCCACTGTACTCCCCTACCCCTAGCCCAGGCTCTCACCCCGCGATGACGATGAAGAAGTCAAGCCGATTCCAAGTGTCTCCCAGGTAACACTTTTTCCCGAAGATGCCCAAAGCCACCATCTTCACCACCATCTCCACCGCGAAGAAGGCAAAGATGAAGTCATCAAAAGCCTGACGTGGGGACAAGAGGCTGCTGAAACCGGGGAGGGGGAGTGCCCTGCCCCCACTCCAGCCCCAACTACCCTTCCACCATGGCTCCTTGCAGAGTAGTCAGGGCCCCCAGCACACACTCACCTGCAGGATCCGGCAGCGCTGGGAGTCACAGGCGATGTCCTCGCACGGCCGGAACATGCCGAGGGTCACACAGTTGAGTAGGATGACCAACATGCTTATTCGCTCGAACCAGGTATGGCACCGTCAAGGAAAAGGCTGGCCATGGCCGTCCCCCGGGCCCTACCCTAGGCTCCCATGAGCCAGGTGTGATGCGAGGGCCCTGGCCTACCCAGCAGCCCAGCCCAGCCGCCCTTCCCCCCAACCTCCCAGCACCAGACCTGGTCCCACCTTGATCACCCCACTTCTCTGGACCCAGCTTCCTCATCTGCAAAGCAGGAGAAGCCACAAATACCTTGACTATTTGCACAAGCCATGTTGGGAATAAAATCATTGGTGCTTGTGGAAATGCCAGACACCATGAGTTTGGGGCTGAATCTGAATCTTCTCTCCCTACCTCGCGGGATGGATGTGAGAAGCAAATGAGATGATGTATGCGAATGTGTTACACAAACCCGGAGTCGGATTATGCCTTCCTTACAGTTTCCCAAGCACTTTCACACAATGCCACAGTTGATGCTCACAACAGCCCCGTGAAGACTCCACAGTCGGTCGTTTGATTTCCTAGAACCCAAGGAAACTGAGGCCCACAGAGCCAAAGTCATGGGCTGAAGGTCACTCGCAAAGCCAGGACAAGACCGAGGTTTCTAAGCTCCTGGTCTATGACGCGTTCCTCTGCACCCTGGAGCTGCTGAGGCAGGCAACAAAGGGGCTGTCAGGACTGCCCGGGGCCTGGGCAGAGCAACACGAGGGGACGCACAGCTACAGTCCCCCTTGCCACAATAGGGAGCATGGGGGCTTTCTCCCCTGCCCATCTCCTGACCTCCCAAGGCCCTCAGATGGCCTCCAGACACAGTCGTGTGTTTCAGCATGAAGGACCTGCTGCACACCAGGCACCATGCTGGGCAGCATGGACACACGCCGTGCACGCAGGCCATGCTGCTGTCACATTTCCCAAAACAGCGAAGGGGAGAGGGACGTTCTTCCTGAACCCCGAGTCCTCCCACATAGCAGCCGTCTATCAAGGGATTCACTTCCCTTGATAGCAGCGTAAGACACAAAATGGCCTTTGGATTGTAGAATGCTCCAGGCACTGGACTCTTGGATAAATGACTAAGTGTCCTGTTTTGCTCATGGAAAACATGATAGGGTGGGGAAGAGCAAAGAGGTCACAAACCAGTAGAAAGCAGGGGGTTGGGAGGAGGAGACCACGTAGGGGATGGAGGTGAGAGGGTGTCTTGGTAGCCTCCAGCACCACCCACCAGGCGACACCTGAGGGGCTGGATACGGAATCTTCCCGTCACCACCTACTTCTGCAACAACAGGGCTTTGGCCTGGTGTGAAAAGACCAGCAGGAATGTTCAGGGACCCAAGGACCTTCCTCCAAGCTGCTCTAAGCCAGCCCCATCTCTATCCTCAATCTCAAACCTTGCCCTGTCCCCAGAAACCCACACCTGCCCGATCCCCTTGTAGCTCTTCCACCCTCTCTCCGTGGTCCTTGCATCCCTGCCCGCCACCTGCCTGCCCACGACCCTAGCAATCCCGAGGCCATAGACTACAAGGGCCTAGGGGGTAAGAAGCAGGAGGGGGAAGCAGAGGAGTGCTTCTTCCTGAGTGCAGCTCCAGGATGGGGTCAGCCAGGGGTCACCCAGGAGAAAGGGGAGGACACAGTCACCCTCAAGAACCTGTCTGCTCTCCCCCACCTAGCCCCCTCCTCTCCTCTGCAGGGAAAGGGCCCACATGAGCAAGCAAGTCTATGTGGGTTGCTCTCCTTCGAGGAGGGACTCCTGGGACTGTCTGGGCCCCTCTCCCAGAGGTGACTCCACCATGGCACGGTCCTGTGCACTTGTCAAGACTCCCTGGCAGAGCTGTGGGCTCTTGGCAGGCAGGGGCACTCGGATCCAGCTTGATACCCCACGCAGTGCCGTGGTATAGTGCCTGGCAGCTTGCAGATGATCAATACTTGGGAGGAATGAATGGATAGGTCACTCTCCCTGCCCAGATGTGTCTCATTCATGTTTTCCTGCCTTGTTTCCCTCTACAGTGTTGAAGTGACTGTATCTGGCGTGGTGGGGGGGACAGTGACCCCATAGAGGAGCTAGCACCTCTCTGTCCTCTCTTTATACATGTTCCTACCAGGGTGTGCTCCAAATAACCCCAAGCCCCCATGCGCAGCTCTTAATCATGGGAACCCCTTCTCCAGGACCCCCTTGGCAATCAGCCTTCTCCCAGGTACAGCAGGCCTGCTCTCCACGTCTCTCTTTCTGCTATAGGTAAGCTTATATGGATAAGGAAGAGACCAAGGCACAACAAAAATTGGGGACAACCTGAATAGAGGAAGAATGAATGGGGGGGGGGTCTTTCACCCTTCTCAAGGTAGGGCTCATTTCCTTGGAAACATGGCAGGATGTCACCGTGTGATGTTCTTCTGTTGCCGTAACAACAGGAGGATGTGTCACCAGGTGGTGTGGATTTGTTACCATGGTAATTAAAGAGACCCCCTCACACACACATACACACATGATTTCTCCTTACCCAGGCTGCTGTCTTGTCCTCATGCAGGGAAACGGAAGCGGGGAGACCCACAGGTTATCAGGTTGGGGGGAAACCATGTGACAGATCCCCATGGTAACCGAGGGAACGGGGGACAGTGGTTGCCATAGTGACTATGAGAGACCTGTGCAGTCACATGTCTGCTGTTGCTATGGTGACTGTCCAGGCTGGAGTGGATCCCAAAGGGTGGGGGCAGGAGAGGGGAGGATCTTTCTTCTCCCCACAACCCACCATCAAAAGCAGAGAAAAAGGAAGTGGAAGGGAGGAATCCCACTCCCACCCCTCCTCCTTTTCTCCCTCCAGGGAGAGAAAACTAGCACGTTATCTCCACAAATGCCTTCTCTCTGGGGGCCTGATCTAGATGGAGCCCTTGCCCAGCCTGGCAGCTGGAAGGGTGAGGGAGGTGGGGAGAGGGGGAAGCAGGCTGGGGCACCCTCTGGGGCACAGGGGTTCCAGGCAAGAGCTGAGAAGGGAAGCAGGCCCCCAGCTGCCTCATTCCCTCCTAGGAGTCAGGAAATCTGAGAGCGAGGAGGGTTGGGGAGAAAGCAGGCCTAGACCCAGGAATCCCGGCCTTCCAGTTAGAGCTGGAGAGGTGATTTGGGGGCAGGTCCTTGCCACACACATCCCCACAGGGAGACTGGTGCCCACCGATTCGGGATTTGGTGCTCGCCAGGGCAGGAGGAAAGGAGGGGGTGGAGGAGAGGGGGATTCCCCAAGCTGAGCCCCACTCTTAGAGGCCTGCTTGCCCGAATGCCCCGGGTCCTGCCAGCTCCAGTGTGGGGGTGTGGGCAGAGAGGTTGCCAGCTGAACTGGAAACTGAAGCTGGCAAAAAGGCAGCCGGCCCCACCCAGAACCAGAGACCCGAGACACAGAGACAAGGAGAGACGGCCTGCTGGAATCTTAGGGAGGGGAAATAGGCCAGAAATCTGATTCCAACGTCTGTGATTCTGTGTGTGTGTGTGTGCGCGCGCGCGCATGTCTGCGTGTGTGAGCAGTTGTGTCTGTCGCCACCCTGGCTGAGGCAGGGAGGGCGGGGTGAGGGCTGGGGCGGGAGCAGCCTGGGTGGAGGGGGGTGTGGGGTGGGGTAGTCCCCGGAATGGCTCCAACTGGCAGTACTCTGGGGCAGGGGAGTCCCCCACCAGTGCGGCGGGGGAGTGAGTGGGGAGGAGCGTGTGTGCTACCCACAAGGAAGGAGGGCCTGGGGTAGAGGGGGCGCCCTGCCACTCGCCCCGGCCCTTCTCCCCAGACTGCCCTCTGGAGAGCCCCGGGTGTAGAAATGGGAGGACACAAGAACCCTCCCCCATTTCCTGAGGACCAACATGGAGAATTCTCCCCGGGGAAGAGAAACAGGCAGACTTGGGACACTGGGACGGTGGCAGAGAAGGCTCCAGAAATTGCTGGTGCCCCTTGCCTCGGAGCGGCGCACACTGAGACACACACAGTGACGCACAGGCGCACACTCGCACTCACTTCTGGAAGCCATTAGGGCTCCTACCGCCCAGGCCTCCCCCTTCTCCTCCTCTCCCCACCCTGGCAGGCTCCCCTCTCCCCTCTGGCCCCCAGTCCACTTCTCTCTCTCTCTCTCAGCATCCCAAATGCCAGCCTGTGATTTCCAAATGAGAAAAAGCTGCGCTGGGCTCTGAGCTTGGAGAAACTCCTACACAAACTTCCAGATGTGACACAACCGCCGAGAGGGAATGCTCAGGATCTCCTTCCGGGAGGGGCCGCCCCTCCCTCGCACTGGGAGAACCTCTCACTCGCTGGAGAGGCCAGCTCACTCCCTGCTAACCTGGGGGTGCTGTCTGCCTCTGGGATGCTGTCTGCCAGTACCCCTGCTCCTCCGAGGGCCAAACACTCACTGTGCTGTGTATCTGCCTTCCTTCTGCGTCCCCCCATCCTCTCAACACACACCAGACACACACACACACACACCACACACACACACACACACACACACACACCATTTCCTACCTGGTCTACATCTCCTCTCTAGGAAACCTGGTCTCCCAAAGAGGCTGCAACAAGAAGGGGTGAAGAAGAATATGCTTAAGCAGCTTCAGCTGGGGAGGGGGGATGTTGGGGAACGTCCTTGTGTCCCCCAGGACCAGAGGGAGCTTTGTGGAGCCAACGGAGGCTTCACAGACACCAAAAAGAGAAAGAAGAGGTACTGAGGCCCTGGAGGCCGTCCCCAACCCCTCGGGCAGTGAAACGGGTCTCCCTGGGCCCTGGGTAGGAGGGGGACACGGCTCAGGCAGTCTCCTCACCAAGAAAGTCTTCTCAATCCATCCGCAGTCACCCCAGGCTAGGTGCTTGTCCCCATTCCCCAGCAGGGAGACCTGCTTCACGGCCCCAAGGTGAGCTCGGGCCCCTGCCTCTCCTCCCTTGTTGCAAGCCTGGCTATTTGCCCCCTCCTGGAACGCCCCAAGCACCTGGAGATAAGGGACCCCTGAGAAGGAGGAGATGGACAGGTGCTTTTCTCCGTTCGTGGAAGGGTGGGTGGTTTGTGACAGAGAAGAGGGGTGCCCAGAGCCCATCCTTCTCAGCCACCTTCTTGCCTCACCTCCATCTCTGCCAGAGAGCAAGGGCCTGGGAGGGGGGCTCAGAGCTCACGATGACCTATCCACCAGCACCACAGATCGAAGGCCCCCATCTCTCTCTCTCTCTCTCTCTCTCTCTCTCTCTCTCTCTCTGACTGAAAGGAGGATGGGGCAGGGGACCAGCCGAGGGTGTGAAGAAGGGAGCTTCCCAAAGACCCACGGGTGTGGAGGTTGGGGGTGGGGGACCCAGGCTCACATCCTGCTTTGCGCACTAGAGGCAGCAGAGCTGCAGAGTGAGGGAGGCACCAAGCTCCCCCCCTCCAAGGCAGAGTCCCAGCTGGGCTCTAAGGGTCTTACAGGGAGACCTAGGGGCTCCCACCCTGAGCCCCAAAGAACCTCTGAACTGGGAGGAGGGAGCCAGGGAAAGCCATGGTGACCTGAGATGGCAGCGCCACTGGCCACCTCCGGCCACCTTTTCCCAGCTCTGTGGCAGGACTCACCCTGGGAGCGGGGCATTAGTCAAGCAGCACTCTAGGCTATAGGTTGAGAGGGAGGGGACCCCCCCACACACACACCACCACTCCAGGCCAGGCAGAGGGCAAGAGGCAGTGCTGAACCCATCTCCTCGGAATTGAGGCTTGCATGGCCCAAATCCTTCCAGGGAGGAGACATCAGGGTGGTGGACATGCTCACAGCCTCCCCATGCCCCCCGATACTCTCCCAGGGCTGCGGTCTCCTTCCCCCACTCTGCTACTAGCCAGGGCACTCTATCCGTGGAACGGGAGGGGTAACTTGGACCTGCTGACACCCATCCCCCACTTGCCGAAGCTCTTGTGGCTGTCTTTCCCTCCACAAGAAAAAAAAAAAAAACGGGCAGAAACTCGCCAACCCAACCTTAAGCACCCCGCTGGAACCAGGCATTGTGGTGGAGGGAGGCACTGCCGGCGCTGGGCGCAGGCTGAAAGGGGCTGCGCTCCAGCTCCGGGGTAGACGGCTCCCCATCCACCACATCTTGTTCTCATTCTGCGCCCCTGACATCAGCCGCCGCCGGAATCTCCTTGTTGTGCCTCCAACCCGCGGGGTGAAGGAGGGGTGGGGGGATAGGACCTAGTCCCCGCCCCCCCAACAAATCCCTCTGGGTCAGTAAAAGGCTCAGCCTCAAGGACCAGGTCTGGGGAATCGCACCCTAGAATCCGCCGCAAACTTTGGGGCGGGGGCAGGAGGGAAACCCTGAAGATTGCGGCGCCCCCTCCTCCGTCCCCGCAGCTTCCTCCCCACCCCACCCCCCCAAACTCGGAAACCAGACCCTGCACGCGAACCGGCGGTGGGCGGAGGAGATCTCCCCGGCTCCCGAAGCTGCCCACATGTGGAGGAGGACGACCCTCCCCTGCCCACATGTGGAGGGCATCCAGCGGCAGATCCGTGGGGCACGTCTCCCCTCTCTCGCTGGCCTGAATCCCAGTTCCCCGAGGAGGACCGAGGTGTGCGATCGGAGCCGGCGCTCGCCCGGGATACCGACACGACCCGCTCGCGCCCCCGCTCCCACCCCGACGCCCCCTCCCCTCCCGAGCACGCTCACCCCTCCAACTCACCCGGCTTTGGGTCCGCCCCCTTGCGGACCCCCTCGCCCGGCCGTTGTGCCCCGAAGGATATGGGTTACAGACCGTGCGGAGACACCAGCTCCGCGGGCGGCTGTCCTGGTTCAAGTAGAAGAAAACCACCGGGGCCAGCGCCGGGTACGGCAGTCCCTCCGCCTCGGAGTCCACGCTGCCCGGGTCCTTTTCCGCCGACCCCGGCCCCGGCCGGCCCCCGGCCCCCGACAGGTCGTTGAGCCGCAAGAAGCTCCGGGACTGTCCCGACTCCTCGGCGCCCGCTCCATCCTCCTCCTCGTCCATCCTCCGGCCAGCCGGGGCCCCGGGCGGCCCGGAGAGGGGCGAGCGGCGCCCCTCGGAGGAGGTGCCCTCACGCAACCGGAGGGCCCCGGCGGGGGCGCATGTGGGGGGCTCTAGGGCACGAGCTGAGCCCCCGGGAAGGCCAGTTCAGCCCAGCTCCCCCTGCCCGCAGGGGCATACTGCCCGCGGGGCTCTGGGTCGCAGAGAAGCCCCTCCAGGCCCCCTGGGCCAGCCGGCAGGCTCCCCCTCACTTTGTTCCGGCTTCTTCGCTTCGCGCCCAGGCTCCGGCGGCCCGGTTCCGCGATACCTTCCGCGAAGAAGCCCCGAGAGCCAGGGAGAGAAACGGGGTACCCGATGGGGGGCAGAGGGGGTCCGGGGAGGGGCGCCCCCTCTTCCCGCAGAGCAGCTGGAGCAGGATCTAAGGGGTCAGCATCGCCCCGGCTCCGCGCCAGCGGCCGCGGGGGGAGGGGAAGAGGGCTCTCCTTGGGGGTGGGTTTGGAGGGGGCGGGGGGCGGCTCCTGCCTCCGCCCCGCGGCGGGCTCACGGTCCGGGAGGGGCGGGGAGACGGTGGGGGGCCGTCCCGGGCGGGGGTGGAGGCGGAGAGGCCGCCGCCGCCGCAGCCGCCGCGGTGGCTGCCGCTGCCGTAGCTGTCGCCGGCGCCACTGCCTCCTCCTCCGGCCGAGACGCGGAGCGAGCGAGCGAAAGCGGCGGCGAGGAGCCCGGCGCACACCACAGCTGGATCCCTCACTCCAACTTCAAGCCTCGGCCCCGCCTCCCCAGCCAGCCTCGCAGCCAATCGCCGCGAGGCGCCGGCCCCGAGCCGCGAGCCCATTGGCCAGTCTCCGTGGCAGAGCGGGCGGGGGCGCCCGCGGAGAGAACCACAGCTGGAATCCGGTTCCCACCCCAAATCCCAGGACCGCCCCTCTCCCCTCCCCTAGCCCCTGGGTCCGCTCCGGAAGGCTGGAGCCAATCAGGCAGCTGCACAGACCGAACCCACTTTCCTATTGGCCGCCGGGGTCTTCGGGACTCCCCCGGAGGGAGCCCCGGGGAATCGGAGTGTTTGGCGCGGGGTCCTGGGGTAGCGCCACAGGCCCCGGGCATCCTTTGTCCCCGACCCCAGAACTGGGTCGCAGCCGGAGGGCGGAGCTTGGTTCTGGGCGGGCCGGGAGCGGAAGGGAGGCAGGACGCACGGGGGCGAGGGGTGTGACCAGAGGCCCAGCGCGAAATCCCCGGGTCTCCACTTGGAGTTGAGCCCGGTAGCCGGACAGGGGATGGGGAGGAGTGGGGCAGGACGTCCTGGGTACGGCGCTTCGGGCTGGGTCTGGAGATCGGGAAGGGGGCGCTGGTCTTGGGGAAACAGAGTCAGGGAAAGGCAGAGGTAGGCACAGTCTGGGCGTGGCTTTCACTTCTGAGACTGACCTTGACCCTCACGCCCTGACCTCCGTCCGTGGAGGTTCTTTGAAGGCTATGAACTCCACACGGGACTTGGTGCGCGAACACGTGGCCCCAGGCAGGTCGCGCCCCAGAGCCTGGATCCCCAGCAGCTGCGGCGCAGAGCGGGGGTCCCCTGCCAAGCGACCTCCGCCAGCCTTGAGGTGTGGGAAGGGGCGAAGCCAAGCACCTGGCTCGGCCCTACCGACTCCCAACCTACGAGCCCCGGCCGGCCCGCCCACGCTGTGCCTCAGTTCCTCCCCGCCTTAGGGACGCAATTCGCGGGACAGGAGCTTCGTGGGGCTGCTCCCGCGCACCCTACCGAGCGCGGGTGCTTGCTCCGCAGGTGCATGGGGAGACCTCGGCCCGCCTCGCCTCCCGGAGTTCTGGGGCTCGACTCCCGCACGTCCGCGGCGCTACCGCAGGAGGCAACAGACACCTCCGCGGAGGTGCTGGGGCCGGGGGGAAGGAGCCGTTGAGGATCCCACGCCTTGAGCACTGCCCCGATGTTGCGGGAGGTCGACGCGGTGGCTCCCAGCCTGTCGGTCAGTCCCGCCTGGAGACCGCGGGGCGTCTACGCCATTGCGGAGAGGCCGGGGGAATGGACGTGATGACCTCGGGCACCCGTGGGACCTCCGGAGCTCCCTCGCTGTCCCAAGGTTGTACCACCCGCGCTGTTTCCGCGCGCCTCCCGCCGCAGCGTGGTGGTGGGGGGGGAGCCTTTCGGCTCGCGCCTAGGCGGTTTGCGGGGGCGGCGGCGAGGGGTGGGGAGCGCAGAGCGGCTGCCGCGCTGTCGCCTCCCTGGTTGCCCTTTCGCCGAATCCGGGCACCGAGTTGTGCAAATGAGGCCGGGCTCATTTGCATTTCATGCTAATAAGCAGATCCCCTAAGTGCCTTTCTGTCTTCTGGCGGGAGTCTCTGCTCTCATTCCGGCAGTGCAGGGCAGTGCAGGGCGCCGATCTTGAACTCGGGGCTGGCTTCCGGGGGACAGGGGGGCGATTTACGGCCCTGGCCCTGGGTCTGACACTTTCTTCGCTCCCGCAGGGCCGCAGGCGGCCAGGTCGCCCTGCCCTTGCGACCGGGGTCGAGGAGCTCCTGGCCTGAGGATGTAGGAACTATCGGCACCCACGGTTTGCAGAGGGGGAAACGAGGCCAGAGAAGCTTGCCCCGCCCAGCCGTCAGGTTCCCTGATGTTCAGGAGGCCCCACACCCTCAGTGTCATCCGGACCACCCCTGGTCTCTGGGCTGAGCTCGGGCTGGCACATGCCTATCCGTGTACCTGAGCACCAGGAGACCCGGATACTCATCCATTCTGGGATGCCCAGAGTTAGCCTGAGGGCACGCAGGGCAGAAGGGAAGCATCCTGACCCCTCTCCTGCTAAGACAAAGGGAGAATTGAAACCAGCTTTAACCCCAGCCCTCAACATTTTGAGCTGGGGCTTTGCCTCCTCTCCAGCAGGTGTTCCGGTGCCTATCAGATGCCAAGGCAGTAAACGAGACAGGCTGGGATTCTGTATTTGTGGGTGCAGTAAGAAAGTCACCGTGTCCCCTTCTAGCCTCTAGGGCATGAGCTGCTTGTCCATTTTGCTCCCTGGGCCTAGTCTCATGTTTGGCACATAGTAGGTGTTTAATACATCTTTGTTAGATGAAAGAATACCCCCAGGTGGGGAGGGGAAGGACACGGTCAAGAAATTCCTCTTTAGGCCTGTTTTGCAACACAGGAGTCGGGCCCCCAAGACGTGCGGCCCCTCAGTGCCCACCTGTGGCACTCTTCCATCAGTGGTGGCTTCTACAGACATCTTCTCCGTCGGCCACCTCCGCAGCCTGGGGGGGGGGGGTAGGAGGCCCCCATTCTTCAGACAGGAGAGATGGAAATTACCTAAGGGACTGCCCCACCCATGAGGCCTCTGCGGTGACCTGGCCCACAGCTGCGGCTGTGGAACGGGGAGTTCGCTCAGGATCGGCCGGTGCAGGGGACGCAATGCTGCAGGGCTCCCGGTTTTAAAATCCTGCATCTTAACAAGACTGAGGCTCGGCCTTGCCCTCTTTAGAAACTCAAGCACTCCCTGGAGGACCAGCCCTCTACAGTCCTAACTGCTTTCTCTGAACCCATTATAGAATCCCATTGCCACATACCAGAAGCAGAGACGCAGAGCGAAAGGAAGCCAGTAGAAAAGGCACAGCCACCAAACACAGCCTCCTTCTCAGCGGTGCCCGCACCCCCTGGGGAAGAGGACCCCTGCGTGGTTTTTATTGTACCCAAGGGAGGAACAGGTGTGCTGAGGGGGTCTCGGGCCAGTCGTACACCCACTCGGGGCCTGGACTATCCCACCCCGGGTGAGGGTGATCTTCATTCATGAGGGTCAACAGGGACACCAGTAACAAGAAGGCCTTACAAACTGCCCACACTGTTCCAAAGCCAGGGCTAGGGCTGCCAAGAAGGCCACCTGTGCTTCTCACACTGCCCCCTGCCCTCCCTTCCATCCCCCCTCCCAGGCCAGGCTCCACTTGTCCGGCCTCTGACTTCCTGGCAAGGCTGAGTGGGCTCCAGCTAGCAAGGGGCCAGCTGACCTCGTTGGCCGGAGCTCTAATCCCCTCCAGATGGGCCGGTGGCTCACGCCGAGGGCCGGCTGCCCAGACAGAGCTGACTCTGGTCCCAGTGACCATGTGTGACTGTGTGTGACCATGCACAGGGAACGACACTGTCCAGTCTCCTGGCTCCTTCCTGCCCCACTCTTTCCCACTGCGGCCATCCCCAGACGAGCAGTGGCCCTCGGGCCTCCGATTCTAGCAGCCTCTGCAGGCCCTCTGTGTTGTTTGGCTTGGGAGCCACGAGGATGCCCTGGCTCAGCAGGCCTGGGAAGGCCTCTGGGAGGGTTCTTCCTCCCCTCCCAGGCAGCCGTCAGCTCCATCACACTACACCTGCCCTTCCCACAGCGTGCGTCCCAGTCTCCTCCCCCTGGTGGAAGCCGGAGGAGATGTATCTGAAGCTTGCAAAGACGCGTGTGCCAAGGACGGGACTTCCCATCATGGAGGGGGCAGGAGGGGGTCACAGGGGGGCACCTTACTTTCTCTGCATTAGCAAGGACTCAGATAAATTTGGAGGAGGACTTCCAGCCCAACAGATGCTCCAAATGAAAGACGTCTCTTTCCCCAGACCAGCTTGTGTAAAAGCAAGGGGGATGGACAATATGACCTACTGCACAGAAGCCTTGCTAAGGCAACTCCCACAATGCTCCAGGCTATGTGCAAATGTAACCTCTGTGAAAAAAATAAAAGCATCTCCTGCCCCTTCCCCAGCTCCAAGTGAAGCACAATGGGGAGGGGAGGGCAGGCCCCCTTCCTGACCCTTCCTGGTTGTCTACTTGGTTTGGGGCCCGACCTCAGCTTCATTCAGGCCACAGTGGCCATGTACCCAAGGGCAGGTCTGCCCCGTGACTTCTGGAGGGTGAAAGAGGAATGGGAGAAGGCAGGGGGGTCAGCTGGGGGCACCCGGAGGGAGGGGCCCTGGGCCACTGGTTCCCAGGCTGGAGTGAGGCCGAGGCCCTGAGGTTACCGCGGGACGCTGTTAGGTTTATTCCAGGGGGAATGGGTGCCCATCAGGGGGCAGCGAGAATGGCGCAGGTCACCTGAAGGCAGAGTGCTCAGGGTAGCCACAGGTTCAGCAGGGCCCGGCAGGGCCCGGGTCTCTGGTCAGCGGGGAGCTCCGCCTTCCACCCCAGTCCAAGGGGGCTGGCGCAATCACTGATGTAGCAGCTTCCGTAGCTCACAGGGCTCGGTGATGGGCATGGAGCAGGCCTGGTTCTCACACACGTAGGCCGTGGCCCGGTCCTCTAGCCGCCGCAGGGTACTCAGGAAGGGCAGCTGGCGGGACAGAAAGCTCGAGGGGTCCCCGTCGGCCAGAATCAGCACCTGGGGCGGAAGAAAGGCATGACAGGTCCCTGCAGGGGGGCACTGGGACCTGGCCGGGCCTCCCAGGAGGGGACCTCTCCCCAGCCTTAGATGCTGGGAGCTGAGGAGGGGCCAGGGCAGAGGGTGGAGCCAGGCTCATGGGGACAGGTACCTTGTTGGGGATGTAGATGGAGTGGACGCACTGCAACAGAGCCTTGGTGTCCTTGGCCTGTGGGTCTCCACAGATCACGATCTGGTGGGGGTAGCAAGGTCACTCCAGTGTCAGGTTGTGGCAGGGACTAGCCCCAGACCCATCAGGGCTCTCCCCCTCCTCCCTCCGTCCACCCTACTTCCCTAAGAAGGAACGAGGGACTCCTCTCTGCTGCCAGGAGACCACTTCAGATGAAGGCTTAGCCAAAAGA